TAGCAGCTGTGTGCTTCCAGGGAGCACTAACAGAGTGGGGTTAGCAGCTGTGTGCTTCCAGGGAGCACTAACAGAGTGCATCTAGCAGCTGTGTACTTCCAGGCACTTTCTGACATCAGCGAGGCCATCATGTGGGTACGTGATGGGATAGTGAGATGAAAGCACTGGATTCATTTGCTAGAATGTAACTTGACTTTCAGGAACTACAAAAGTATTTTCAGGTCTGTTGGGACAGCCTGGTAACAGCAACAACTTCCCTCTCCAAACCCAGCCCAACCCTTCCTCCAGGTGTTTTTTGCCAGAAGTACAGGAAAAGACTGAAATAAATTACACCTCCTATTGTATGTCAAATGAGAGGGAACTGACATTGAAACTTACTGAAAAGTCTATTAGAGTAAATAAACAGTAGTGGGTCTCAGCTAATGAATTACTCTGTAAACACAGTAATGAATAGTTCAGAGAAAGTAAACACAGGCTGAGAAGACAACTCATTGGGTAAAGTGCTGGCTGTGGAGGACCGAGGACCTCAGTTTGATTCCCAGAACCCACATCAGAAGATGGTCTGGGTGTGGTGGCATGTACTTGTAATCCCAGAGCCAGGGAGGAGGAGACAAGCAGATCCCTGGGACACGCTGGCTGGTCGGCCTAGTCTAGTTGCTGAGTTCCAGTCCAATAATAGACCCTGTCTCAGGAAAAAAAAAAAAAAGGGTGGATGGTACCCGAGGATACCCAAGGTTGTCCTCTGGCCTCCACATGCATGCTTACACTCATACACACGCACCCCATACATGAACATATATGCATGTGCATTCACACACTCAAAAATGAGAGTAAATGTAACTTTATTAAGGGCACGTAGAAAGCGTCATAGTTGGCACTCAAACTTGGGGCTGTCAAGAATCCTTTTCTTCCTAATATACTCATTGGCAGGTTATACTGCCCTGTAACTTAATGGTCATCCAGGGACAAATGGTAAATGGACAGCTAGGTGACTGTGACACTTTAGAATTTCCTTTGCATGCCACTCTAACACCCACTGACATACGGTGCCAGGCTGTCATTACTGTAGCCTCCAGGGTTCTGCATGGGGAAGAGCAGTGGTGTGAACGGTGCAGGAATATCCAACCACTTTCTGATTAGATTCAGGACAACTCATGTCTGGGAGCAATTCACTTCAGATCCACACCTTGCTGCCCTTCCCTTCTGTTGAGTGGTACGTTCTTAGACATCAGATTTCACTAATATTCTAGCACTGATCATCATCAGGACAGCTTATCTAAAATTCTTCACAATAAAGATGACACTTAGTGAACTGTTGGCCTTTGCCTGCTGTACCCCTGACAACCACGTCACTGGCAGAGTTCACAGTGCTGTGTTTTACAGTTGCCGTACCTGTAAGCGCCTGAGTCTGGCTCACCTGTTCTGATTCCACACTGGCTTCTTTTAGTTTATTCTCTGTTGCTTCTTTACATCTCTTCAGTTGTCTGATAGTTGCTTCCAATTCCTGAAAATGTGATAGATTTTAATAAACTTCCAATGTGCCATATAGAACCAAAATGCTTCAAATTTATAACATGGCAACTAGATCATGAAAACAAGACAGGACACTTCTGAAGTTCTATTTCGTATTTTAATACAATTTAATCTATAGTGTATCCAAAGAGTTTGATTCTGGTTTATGGATTCTGCCAAGAGAAATTAATTTAATGTCTCTGCTCTAGCTCTTTTGTAAAAGCAAACTGAGAATGATGATTATTTTCCATATTTCAAACTACCATGATTTCAGTATGAAATGTCCTTCAAAAGGCTCATGGCTGAATGCTTAATCTTCAGTTGCTGGGTTTATTTGGAAACTCTAGGAAGTGGGGCTAGCTGGTTCCTGCGGGTATTTGAAGGATATACCCAGGCCAGTCCTGTGCACCATGATGTGGGCAGTCTCCTTCTATACGTGCTCCTGTTCTCATGCTGTCCAGCCGGGGTCCAGAATCAACAGAGCCAGGGTCTGCAGACTAAAATCTATGACCTTTGACCTGACCTCCTTTAGCTGTTTGTGTCAGGTGTTCTGGTCACTGCAATAAGGAGAGTAACGATGTATCATTTTTAACATGGATCTTCCTGTTTTACTGCTGTGAAGAGACACCATGACCACGGCAACTCTTATAAAGGAAAACATTTAATTGGTGCTGGCTTACAGCTTCAGACAGTCCATTATCATCACATCAGGGGAACATGGCGCATGCAGCAGGTATGGCTGGAGGAGGAGCTGAGAGTTCTACATCTTGATTCACAGGCAGGCAGCATGGAGTGAACTGACTTGAGCTTCGGAGACCTCAAAGCCCATCCCCACAGTGACACACCTCCTTTAGCAGGGCCCAGCCTACTCCAGCGAGGCCACACCTCCTAATAGCACCAGTCCCTATGGGCCAAGTATTCAAACACATGAGTCTATGGGTCACGGGGGCCACACCTGTTCAAACCACCACAGCAGGCGTTTTACTTTTTTCACAGAGTCTAGGCAAATCTAAGTGCCATTTCACCAGATTTAGGCACATATACTTGCTAGCAACTGTTGAGAGGAACCTTAAGAAGTCTTTACCTCACACCGATTTTCTAGGTCCTGCCTCATTTTCCGCTCGGCCACTAGTCTCAGCTCCTGCTGTTTGTTCCGCGCCGAGGTTTCACACTGGCTCTTGGCTAACCGTTCCATCTCCTTCTGCAGGGCATTCATCTCAGACACAAATCTCTGGATACTCAGAGACTGGTGGGGAACAAGAAGGGACACACGGTGAAGCCAAGCGAACCTCACAGGACCAGTAAACAGTTTGTGGGACTCACACTTTACCTGTTCGTAGTTCTTTTTCTGATATTGGTCCTTAATTATCTCCATTTGCCTTAATTCTTTTTCTATTTGCTGAAAGTAAATGTTAAAATAACATTTAAAAAAAAAGTAATGGCCAGTAGACTGACTTGGGCTTTTAGCTGACTGAATTCTAAGTTTTCAGTTTCTGCTGGGCTCTATTTCCTATCTAGCCCACTGACCCCAAAAGAGTCAGGATGGGCAGTCTTCTGCACACACCGGGTACATGAGGACCGCCCACCTTGGAAAAGATGGATGGAGACAGACATGTACACAGCAGTGTCTCCACCAAAGCAGAGAGGATCCCACAGAGGTAACCTGCCCACTTCCCAGAGAACACACGCTGTTGCCGGGCTCTGAAATGACCTCCCGGATCCCGCAGCATCGGACCCTCCCAACCCGCTGAAGCTGCAAGGGGAGGGCTGGGCTCCTCAGACAACCTTCATCCTCTCCAGATTCTGCACATTGTTTGCCTTGGCCGACAAGTGCAGCTTTATCTGAGCCTTCTGGTTCTTGAGTCTCTCCTTGTTATTGTTCACCACCTTCTCCAGCTCCGTCAGTTTCTGTCGTAGCTCTCGGTTTGTCCGGGACACTTCTACTGATCTGAAGTTGGCTTCGTCAAGAGCTTTCTTCAGCTTAGAAGACAAGAGAACAAGAGAGAAGGTACACTTCTACCTGCTCTTCAGTGAGGGGAGCTTCACTTTGTTCCTGCATTTACAGAGTAGGGGCTGGGGAGACGCCCAGCAGTTAAGAGCGCGGCTGCTCTGGCAGAGGTCCCGGATTCAATTCCCAGCACCCACGTGGTGGCTCACAACCATCTGTAACTCCGGGTCCAGTGGACCTGATGCCTTCTTCTGGCCTCTGAGGGTACTGGGAATGCACATGGAACACAGACCTACATACAGGCCAAAGACTTACACATATAAAAAATAAATAGGAAAATGATATGCATGATGTCTGATTACACAGAGCAACAAATCCGGTGATTTTCACCATTTTTAACATTTGAGAGTAAAATACTCTTTAGATAATGAATGTGAACTATGTATAGTCATGAGCTGCATTTTACAAGCATGACTGTGGAGAGACCTAAGTTCCAGTCTCAGCTTCGTCACCTATGAGTAGGTTTGTGTAATTAACTTCCTCAAGCCTCAGGTTCATCAACTGAAAAATGAGTGGATAGCCTACTTAAGGGGATAAGTTAGAATTAAGTAAAACAAGTAGAGAAAGAAAACAGAACCCAGTTGTTGTAGATATTTTAAGGTGTGTAACATTTGTTTATGCCGTGGAACATTTGTTTAATGATGCAAAAATGTGTTACATTCTTTTTTTTCTTTTTTTTTTTTGGTTTTTTTGAGACAGGGTTTCTCTGTGTAGCTTTGCGCCTTTCCTGGATCGCGCTCTGTAGACCCGGCTGGCCTCGAACTCACAAAGATCCACCTGTCTCTGCCTCCCGAGTGCTGGGATTAAAGGCGTGTGCCACCACCGCCTGGCATGTGTTACATTCTTTTTTT